TGGGTTTTCTTGCCTTATCTATCTCCACGAGGGAGAAAGAGGCAGCTGAGCATTTATACAGGGGGACCCCCAGGTCTGGAAATGCAGGTAATATGTATTAATGGCTTACAGACAGCAACGCACGATGATCTGTCTGCTTCTAGACTTTCTGGTTGTCCTACAGCCTGGAGACAAGGAGATGGAAACCGAAGCAAGAATGGCTCAGGTATGGGAAGTGGGCTGCCATCGTTGGGACTCTAGGATGTAAGGCTGGTGCCTTGGAGGGTGGACTTTACATGTCATTCCCAGGAGCTGAGTCTGCTCTGCACTCCTGCAAAAGACAGAGTGTTCCCCCCCGTCCCTGCCCCCCCCCCCCCCTCTCTCTCTCTCTCTCTCTCTCTGTTCTGTGGTCTCACTGCCCCTGTGTGCGGTCTGCCCAGCCTCTGCATGAGGGTTCTGAAGGCAGGATGCATAGATCCGATTTCCCAGCCAGCTCTCACCTCCAAGGCACAGAAAAGCTTTCCCCTCCCTCCCCCTGTGAAGAGGGGAGCACGCCGTGAGGATGACAGTGTCATCTGGGGTTAGAAATCAGGAGCCCCTCATCAACAGCTCTGCCAGGATGGCATTCTGGACCAGCCTGAGCGGGGCCAGCATTTCTTGGGAGACAGAGTGGGTGAAGCCTGGGTTGTGGAGTTTACCTCTGGGTTCGGGTCCGACTTTGGAGCTGGGATCCTGGACGAGTTCCTCAGCCCCACTGTGCCGTCACCTTGAGTGAACCACGGGAATGATGACACCCATCCCACAGAGGGACAGTGAGGCAGTGGGCAAAAAGTCCTCCAAGTGGTGTAGCGAGACACACATTCATTATCAACATGAGTGCTTTTTGAGAAGAAGGGCACGTTGCACGTTGCAGGTACGAACCCAGGCCTCAGAATCAGGCCCGCACGTGCATCTTGGGCAGCCACTTCCTAGCTCTGTGACCTCGTGTGCTTTCATCTTTTGGAGTTTCACTTTCCGAATCTGTACGCTGGCGGGTTAGTGCTGGTCCCCAGCTCCCCGAGTCGTTACAGGAATAAGCGAGCTCCGTGCAGCAGGCAGAACATGCAGCAAGCCAGGGTCGGTGACCAGCACGACCAGCTCACAGGGTGTTTTCAGCAGGCGCATTAGTTTCTTTGCAAAGAGCAGCCATCTGTTCTTTCCAGACTGTATTTCACTGAATCCTAAATGCATTCCCCTGCCCCCCACATTTTAACATCTTTGAAATCAGGACGAGCCTTAAAATCAATAGCATCTTTTTTTTTTTTTTTAAAGATTTTATTTATTTATTTGAGACAGAGAGAATGAGAGACAGAGAGCATGAGAGGGAGGAGGGTCAGAGGGAGAAGCAGACTCCCTGCCGAGCAGGGAGCCCGATGCGGGACTCGATCCCGGGACTCCAGGATCATGACCTGAGCCGAAGGCAGTCGCTTAACCAACTGAGCCACCCAGGCGCCCTAAAATCAATAGCATCTTAATGTTATAATTTGTCCCATTTTCCTAGCACTGTTTGTTGAAAAGACTGTCTTTCTCCCATTGTATATTCTTGCCTATAGATCAATTGACCACATAAGTGTGGGTTTATTTCTGAGTTCTCTCTTCTGTTCTGTTGATCTATTTTTGTGCTGGTACCAGACTGCTCTGATTACTCTAGCTTGGTGGTATATCTTGATATACCTCCATCTCAAGATGCTTTGGTTAATTGGGGGGCACCTGGGTGGTGCAGTCATGTGTATCTGACTGCGTGGTTTCGGCTCAGGTCGTGATCACCGGGTCATTGGATCGAGCCCCGTGTCAGGGTCCACACTCAGTGCAGAGTCTGCTTATGATTCTCTCTCTCCCTCTCCCTCTGCCCCTCCCCACCATGCTCGCTCTTTCTCTGTCTTCCTCTCTCCCTCTCTAAAAGAAATAAATAAATCTTAAAAAAAAAAAAGATGCTTTGGTTAGTTGGGAACTTAAGTCAAAAAAATAATAATAGGGGTACCTGGGTGGCTCAGTTGGTTAAGCATCTGACTCCTGATTTTGGCTCAGGTCATGATCTCAGGGTTGTAGGATCGAGCCCTGTATCAGGCTCCACACTCAGTGGGGAGTCTGCTTGAGATTCTCTCCCTCTCCCTCTGCCCCTCCTGCTGCTCATGCTCTCTCTCTCAAATAAATAAATAAATCTTTAAAAAATAATAATAAGGGGCACCTGGGTGGCTCAGTTGGTTAAGCATTTACCCCCGGCTCAGGTCATGATCACAGGGTCCTGGGATCGAGCCCCATGTTGGTTCTCCCTTTCCCTCTGCTGCTCCCCCTGCTTGTGCTTGCTCTTTCTCTCTCTGTCAAATAAATAAATAAAATCTTTAAAAATAATAATAATAATTTGCAGCATATTTTTTCTCTCATAGCAACACACAAAATACTGGTGCATCACTTAAAGTCACTGAAATGTATATGCACCATATATACACCACCAAATAAATACGCACACGTACATAAATACAGTTTACAGATTTGGAAACCAAGACTCTGAAAGGTTAAAGCACTATAGACAAGATCACATAACTCCAGGCACCACTCAAAAACACTCAGAGAAAGTATACAAGTCATTTCACTTTAATACAAAATCATGTAAAGAAAGTCATGTTAGCAAAACTGAACGTTCACTAAATATCTGTGAAATCATCACTGGAATGTCAATACCATTTTTTCCTGCATTCTCTCCTCCCCTCTCCCTTTGGGCTCATGAATTTCGCTGCTACTACATGGGAAAGACCCAGGTCATCCGTGAGACCAGACAGGCAGGACGCACATCTGCACACTGGAGGTCCCCCTGGACGGCTGGCGTGCAGCAGGAAGTGGGCCTCGTTTTTGCTTTCCTTCTGCTTTCTTGATTTCTTTGTGCTGCTTCCCCAGCCTTGGCCAAGGCTTCACGGGTGTCCAGTTCTGAAGCCAGGGAAAAAATTATCACGAGAGAGCCTCACCTCCTTCCTCCTTGGTGGCTTTCCGGGGAAACAGATGAGCAAGTACAGTGAGTATGCGTGGCACTGAGAGATGAGTTTGGAAGTCTTGGTGCATTGCCTTCTTGAGTCCGAGAACCTCTGTCTTAGTCGTGGCTTTCGATCTACATCTGCTTCTCTGATCGGAAAGAGAACCTGGGTATAGAGAGAGAAGGGTCAGAGGGCATAGACGGAACGAAGCAAGGAGGGCAGAACTCTGCAGAATCTGTGAGAGGCTCTTGCAGGCCACTGACTCAAACATTTGCCCAGGGCTCAGTGGGGGCAGCACTGTTCAGAGGTTTTCCATCTATCAGCTCATTTCACACTCATAACACCTCGATGAGGTAAGTACCCTCAATATCCCTATTTTATAGATTAGCAAACTGAGGTCCTGCAAAGTTCAGTCACAGGCCCAAGGTCACACAGTAAGTTGTAGAACCAGGAGTTGGACCCAGAGCCCACTTAAGCACTGTGCTATGCGGAAAAATGGTGTCTGAACTTTTTTTTTTTTTTAATTTCAGGAGGTTTTATTGTGGAGGAAGCATCCATGTTACTTACAATTATAAAACAGATCTTTGCAATGAATAAAGATTGGCATATAAATTCTTGGATAAAACCTAGATATGTATGCCCTGAGATACGAATACCAAACGTTCAGTGTTTTTCGCCCTCATATGCAAAGTTTTGAAAAGGAAGAAAGCTATCTGGGGTGGATCACAACGTTCAATCTCAGTGCTAATTGCAGCTATGAGAAAGACCCAGAGCTGGCTGGTGGGGTGGAAAGCCAGTGACGGGGAATATGGGCTAGTGCTTCTTGTCAAAGGCAAACCCCCTGAGCACCGTTAGCAGCCCTGCTCGCCATGGCTGGGGCGGGCCCTGGACTAGTATTCAGACTCAGCCATCCTCCCCTGAACCTGTGCATACGGGGGCCCCTTCCCCACCCCCTTCCCTGTCTCAGGAAGTGACATCATCCCTCACCTCATCATTCATGCCAGGAACCCGGGAGTTGTTCTCAGCTCCTCCCCCCCCATCTGCTATATTTTAGTCATCATGCCCCAAATATGTTCCTAATCCCAACACTCCTCATCTCCTCCACTACCACCCCCCAGTCCAAGTCACCACGATGAGCACCACAGCCTTCCCGCCACCCCCTACAATCCACTCACACGGCAGCCAGAAGGACTGTGTCACTATACAGAGCTAAGTCATTCCTCAGCTCACACCACTGCATGGCTCCCCACTGCCCTCAGGATAAAGACCAAAATCCTTCTTAGCATGACCTACTTCTTCAGAAAGCCATTCATTCACTCATTCATTCATCCATTCACTCATTCTATTATAATGAGCTTGTCTGACCATGAAATTGTGGCCTCGTGCTCATTAGACACGCGACCTCAGTACGGCTTGTGCACAGAACAAACATCTTATTTTTTGCCTTATCAGGCTCAAACTCTAAGGGGCCCAAAGAACTCTCCTCCAAGAGGCCCAAAGAAACCAGTAGTTTACATCTCCTGCCCAGCCAACAGAAGTGTTAAACAAATGCCTTCAGATGCAACAGCTGGTGTGGCATGGAGATGCTCTTTCCTTCATTACCTTACTTCAGGAGAACCTTCCTTGGGAAAGAAACACTCCCCCAGGCCCGGCTTTGAGTCTGTCCCCCCACACCTCCTCCACAACGCAGCCAGAGTGAGCTTTTCCATGTCAATATGCACATGTCACTCTCCAGCTTAAAACCCTCCAATGTCTTCCCAAAATGCTCACCGTGAAACTCAGGGTCCTCGCTGGGAACCCCTGGCCCCTGCCCTGACTGACCTCAGCCCTCACTGGATTCTCCGTGCTTCTCTCCTGCCTCAGGCCTTTATACCTGCTGTTCCCTCCACCAGAAATGCACTTCCCTCACGTCTTTATGGTCTTTCAGGGCCCAGCTTGAATGTCACCTCCTCATTGAAGGCTTCCAGGACTCCCCAAATCTGAAGTTGCCCCCTGTCAACTTCTCTCTCAGCAGCCTATTGAATGGATATCTGAAACGGTCCTGTCAATACACTTCCTTACCTGCTCATTCTGACTCCCCTGCTGGAACGGAAGCACCATGAAGGCAGGGGCTCTGTCTTATTCAGGGCATCCCCAGGACCTAGAACAATGCCTGGCACATGGTAGGCCCCCAATAAATATGTGTTGAAGGGATGAATCATTTGGGTTTCAGGTGGTCTTGTCTGACACAGCAGTTTTCATGCGGGCATTCCAGAAAGTCTGGTAATACTTAACTAAACTATGTATGTGCATATTCTGTGGGCTGCTTGGCCCTCAGATTCATCTCATCCCTTCTCTGCCCATCTCATCCCTTCTCTGCTCCAGGAGGCTGATCTTTGTGGATGACAGCAAATCTTCTTCCTCTGTCCTCTAGCTTCAGGATGGGCTCAGTTACTAGGAGGCCCCAGCAGGAGCTGGGTAGGTGGGGAGGGGGGTGTATTGATGCCCCAGCTCCCGCCCCCCGAGGCTGGTCTTACTAGTTGCTGTGTCCCTCTGCTGACCACCCCCCTTCCCTTTCCCTCATTGCTCCCTCAGCCCAGCTGCCATGCTAGAGTGCTTCTCTATCCCTTGCTGGTTCCCTTAACCCTGCTCCCATGTCTGTCATGTCTGTAAGATGTCCCTTCTTTAAATCTTTTCAGTCACTCCTTTTAAGTGTGTTATTTGTTTCTTGCCAGGACCCTGGCAAATGTCCCCCCCCCCCCACCCCACACCCCCATCACTCATCTGCGTTAAGTGCCTGGCCCCCACAGGCATTTGAGATCCCTGACCAAGGCTGTTTCTCAGTTCTGTCCAAGAGGTCAGGGGCTGGTAACTGTCACCAGGCCAGACATTCTCAGGGCAGCCAAGGCAAATGGGCTGTTTGCTTCATGGAGGGGTGGGGGAAGGGCATGCCTCATTGTATTGACACTTGTCAGCTGAGAACGCACGTTTCAAAGTGTGGTCCAAGGGGTCTCCACATCAGAGTTACCTGGGGAATTTATTAGAAATCCAGATTTCTGGGCTTCATCCTAGACTTGACTTCTGAGAATCTGAATTTTAAACAAGGACCCCACATTCTATGGTTTGAGCCTTAGCACCCAAAGAAATGAGGGATTAACAAGGGAGCATAAATACGAGGGGAGTATTCAAAGGAAATCATATTATGTGGCCCAACGATGGGAGACACAGGGTCCTCTAAATTTGGAAGTAAGAGAGGCTCAGTCCCTCGGTCAGTTAAGCATCTACCTTCGGCTCGGGTCATGATCCCAGGGTCCGGGGATCAAGCCCCGTGTTGGACTACCCTCTCAGCCTCCCCTCTCCCTCTGCCCTTCCCCCTGCTTGTACTCTTTCTCTCTCTCTCAAATAAATAAATAAAATCTTAAAAAAAAAAAAAAAAAGAAAGTTGGAGGTAAGAGAGGTAATGAATCAGCCACCCCTGCCCTTTTATTAAGTCATCTCCACACCCAACGTGGGGCTCTAACTCATGACCCCGAGATCAAGAGTCACGTGCTCCTCCAACTGAGCCAGCCAGGTGCCCCATGAATCCCCCTTAAACTCTAATAATTATTGTTGGTTTTCTTGTTGTTGTAGTATTATTCTATCATAGGGAGGCAATAGTGTAGAATCTGGACTTCTAGGTTCAAGTCTTGACTTTATGATTTACTATCTGGGTGACCTCAGGCAAATTACTTTGCCTCTCAGTATCTATTTCCCCACCTGTAGAATGAAGATGATGGCAGCTCTGATCTCACAGGGTCACTGTGAAGAGTCAAGTTTTTAGACTGCTGCCTAACAGATCTCCTAACAGTCCAGCCCCGAATTTTCCTATCCGCTGTAGCACCACGAACCAGGACACGTCCCCACCCTGGGTAGCTGGCCAGCCTCCTCGGGCCTCCTCGCCTTCCTTCAGCAACGATTTAGTAGCAACGGGCAGCAGGTAACTTACAGCTTCCTTATGATTGTCTTCTCCTCCTTGTTACTGCCGGTCTTGCTGGTCTTGGCAACAAGGGTGTCTTTTTCTCTTCTTCCTCCTGGGCCTTCTCCTGGTGGAATCAGACCACTGGGGGAAAAGGGGACAAATAAAAGGGTTGTTTTATTGCAGACCTTCTGTCTGAGCAGCTCTGAAAGTGAAGGGTCTTAATAATTATTATTATATTAGTAATATTATCATTGAAAGCAGAGTCAGAGAGATTCTGCTTCTAATAAGGAGACTCTTCCCCCCACCTTTCCAATGTTGATGCCTCTTCTTTCTTTCTCTTGTCTAACTGCATTGGCTAATAACTTCAAGTTTCTCCACTTTCTAGGAATATGACCACATATCAATTCTCTAACTTAAGCCTTGATTTTCTAATCAATAAAATGAGAATAATAAGAGGGACGCCTGGGTGGCTCAGTGGGTTAAGTGTCTGCCTTCGGCTCAGGTCATGATCCCAGGGCCCTGGGATCTAGCCCCACGTTGGGCTCCCTGCTCAGCAGGGAGTCTGCTTCTCCTTCTGCCCCTCCCCCGCCTTGCGCTCTCTCTCTCTCTCTCGCTCTCTCGCTCTCTCTCTCTCTCTCGCTCTCTCGCTCTCTCTCTCTCTCTAGCTCTCTCTCTCTCAAATAAATAAATAAAATCTGGGGCGCCTGGGTGGCTCAGTCTTTTAAGCGTCTGCCTTCGGCTCAGGTCATGATCCCAGGGCCCTGGGATCCAGCCCCGCACCGGGCTTCCTGCTCGGCGGGAAGCCTGCTTCTCCCTCTCCCACTCCCCCTGCTTGTGTTCCCTCTCTTGCTGTGTCTCTCTCTGTCAAATAAATAAATAAATAGAATCTTTAAAAATAAATAAATAAAATCTTTAAAAAAATAAACAAATAATTAAATTAAGTTGAATTGATATTGATTGATAAGATACTGAGGTCAGTTGACTTAAAGAGGACCAGAATATTTCCCTGGACTTGATGTACAGAAGCTGGAAGAAAGCTGTTCTCTCTCATTTGTTCAGCTGGGACTGCCAGCATCCACATTTCCTATGATTCCTAGAAAGGGTGTCTACAACAGAAAACAATGAGGCCAACAAAGAGAAACAAGGATGAAAGAAAGAGGCACCAAGTCTTGGGCCCCTCCAACCCTGACACCTTAACTGCAGTTTGTTCTTTATTTCTGAAAGCAGTCCCAAGATCCTTCCTAGCTATGTGGGTTAATAAATTCCCTTTCGTACTTAAGCTAGTTTGAATTGGATTTCTGTCACTTGCAACCAATAGAAGCCTGACCACAATGCATTGTTTCAATGTATGAAATTGTTATCTCCACTTGGGTATTTTGCTGTGGCACCTGCTGGTTCATTTATACCTGTGGTGTTTCCCCCTTCCTACAGATTGGATCGTGTCCCCCAGAATTCATATGTTGAAGCCCTAAGCCCCAGTGTAATGGTATTTAGAGATGGGGCCTTTGGGAAACAATTAAGTTTAGATGAGGTCAAGAGGGTGGGGTCCCCATGGTTGGATTAGAACCCTTGTAAGAGGAGACGGCTGAGGACTTCCTCTCTGCCGTGTGCAAGAAGCCACAAAGAGTCAGAACTAACCATGCTGGCACCCCGATCTTGGACTTTAGCCTCCAGAATTGTGAGAAAAAAATGTCTGTTATTTGAACCACCCAGTGTATGGTATTTTGTTTTGGCAGCCCGGCAGACTGAGACACCTTTTGAGGTATGAGTGTCAGAGAGCAGGATTCATCCTTCTCTCTCCTTTGCAAGGAATGAGCTCTTATTATTCAATATTATTATTTACCTATTATAGTATTAATATTAATACATTATTAATTTATTAATAGCCCCCCTTTTCCATTATCTATTGTTACGTAACACCCTGAACCATAGTGATTTAAAACAATGAAGATTTATGATTTCTCGTGATGGCTCCATTTCTTACGGTTGGCTTGGTGGGTCGTCTGGGGGCTGGGCACAGCTGGGGCCATCAGCTGGGGCACCTCTGTTCTTTGTGTGACTTCTCCCTGATACTACCTTGAGCTTCCTCACAGGACTGTGGTCTCAAGCATTCCACGAGGACAAGAAATTCCACGAGGACCAAAATGGAAGCTGCAACAGGCCTCCCCTAGCCTCAGAAGCCAAATAGCATTGCCTCCACTACATTCCATTGGCCAAAGCAAGTCACTGGGCTGCCCAGACTCAAGGGCAGGGAAAAAATAGACTCTACCTCTTGAGGGGTGGAAAAGGCTCACTGCAGAAAGCATGCAAGATGGGAAAACTCGTGGCCATCTTTGGAAGCAGCCTACCACATCTGCCTCAATGAGAAACAATCATTAGTATGATCTTGGACCTCGGAACTGATGCACTTGCTAGGAGAATACCTCAGCTGACATGCTGGTTTCTCTAGAATGCAGGACCCAAGTGAGTGAACAGAATCCTGCCATCAACTGGCCTCTACCAGAGGGGAAGTACACGGCTGATGCTCTCTGGAATTCAAAACTGGAACTAAAGTGTGTCGCTCTATTCGCTAACAAGCTGCTCAAGCCCCAGCAGTTCAGCCGTTCCTGTTTTCAACTACCTGTGTCTGAAGTACTTATTAAATGAGAGGAAGACAGGTCTTTCCATTAACATGGTTCCAACCTCAGCAGAAGGAAGACAATTAAATTCTTGTTGGCAGAACTCAGCCCTTTTAGATTTGGCTTGCTAGAACATTTTTAATTAGCAATAATCACGCCTCGGATAAACCTCATTGGCTACGATACTGCCGCTGGGCAAAGCTTGCTAGAACATTTTTACTGTACTACTACTCCCTTAGTAATTCTACATTGAATGAATTGGGGGTTTTTTCTTTTTTTTTTTAAAGATTTTTTATTTATTTATCAGAGAGCGAGAGAGAGAAAGCACAAGCCGGGGAACAGCAAGCAGAGGGAGAGGGAGAAGCAGGCTCTCTGCTGAGCAGGGAGCCCGATGCGGGACTCGATCCCAGGACCCTGGGATCATGACCTGAGCTGAAGGCAGTCGCTTAACCGACTGAGCCACCCAGGCGCCCCTGAATTTGTTTTTTTTAAAAATATTTTATTTATTTATTTGAGAGACAGAGACAGAGAAAGAGCACAAGTCAGGGTAGAGGGGCAGGGGGAGAGGGAAAAGCAGACTCCCCACTGAGCAGGGAGCCCGATGTGGGGCTTGATCCCAGGACCCTGAGATCATGACCTGAGCTGAAGGCAGACGCTTAACGACTGAGCTACCCAGGCGTCCCTGAACCAGCGTATTTCTTACTTTAAACTCTCAGAGTCCAAATGTGGCATGATTACTAAAAGCACAGGCTCTGATATCAGGCTGTCTGAGGTCATGTCTCACCATTGTCCCCACCAGCTATGGGACTTCAAGCAGGTACCTGACTTTCAAGAACCTTAGAACACCTTGGAGATAACATTACCTTAGCTCACCTTGCTGTGAGCACTAACTGAAACGATGCTTGGAATACATTTAGCGGAGTGCCTGGCATGCAGTATGCGTTGATAAATATTAGCTGGCACTGAGTTTTTATTCTCTTGGGCTTTCCTTCTTCTGTCTCTAAGGGAATCTGCTTTGTTTAACTCAACGGTTTCCCAGAATGATTTGGCCACAGAGCCCCCTTTTCTTTTTCTTTCTTTCTTTTTCTTAGAGCCCCCTTTTCAAGAAGCACTTACACGAAAGAAAACATTTTGGGAAACAGGGTGCAGATGAATACAGCAAAGTCCAAACCTGATAGGTCAACAGCTTCTTATTTCGTCTCTTGATCGTCCTACAATCTTTTCCCTACACGTGTTACTGTGATTTTTTTTTAGGATTTTATTTTATTTATTTATTTTTAAAAAATATTTTTATTTATTTATTTGACAGAGAAAGACACAGCGAGAGAGGGAACACAAGCAGGGAGAGTGGGAGAGGGAGAAGTAGGCTTCCCGCGGAGCAGGAAGCCCGATGCGAGGCTCGATCCCAGGACCCTGGGATCATGACCTGAGCCGAAGGCAGACGGTTAACCGACTGAGCCACCCAGGCGCCCCATAGGATTTTATTTTTAAGTAATCTCTACACCCAATATGGGGCTCAAACTCATGACCCCGAGACCAAGAGTCACACACTCCACCGACTAAGAAAGACAGGTGCCCCTTTTGTGGTTTTTTAAAAAATAATAATAATAGTTTTTAAATTTTTATTTTATTTTATTTATTTGACAGAGAGAGCGAGAGAGCATAAGCGGGGGGAGCAGTAGAGGCAGAGGGAGAAGCAGGCTCCCCCACTGAGCAGGGACCTCGATGCAGGACTTGATCCCAAGATCCTAGGATCATGACCTGAGCCGAAGGCAGACACTTAACCATCTGAGCCAGCCAGGTGCCCTATTGTGATCTTTTTAAGCTTTTAACTTTTATATAATTTCAAATCTACAGAAAAGTTGTAAGATTAGTATGAAGAATTCCCATATACTCTTTACCCAGATCCCCCTCCCAATTGTTTCTCTGTGTATCTCTCTACCCACCTATCTGCCTATCCATCTATCCATCCATCCACCCACCCACCTACCCATCCATCCATGCATCTATCTTCTTTCTGAACCACCTGAGAGTAAGCTGGAGACATCTTACCCCCTTATATTCCTAAATACTTCAGTGTGTATTTCCAAAGAACCAACTGGTTCAGTTATCAGGTTACCACACTGATAATTTATTTTAAAGATTTATTTATTTATTTGTGTGTGAGAGAGAGAGTGTGCATGCGCATGCCTAGTGGGCAGGGGAAGGGGCAGGAGAAGGAGAGACAGAAAATCCTGAAGCCGACTCCCTGCTGAGCGCGGAGCCCCACACTGGGCTCAATTCCGGGACCCTGAGTTAAGACCTGAGCCGAAACCAAGAGTCGTATGCCTAACCAACTGCGCCACCAAGGCGCCCGATTTTTTTAAAGTAGGCTCCACACCCAATGTGGGGCTTGAACTCATGACCCCGAGATCAAGACTGGCCGGGTGCCCTTCACGTTTGATCTTTTATTTATTTATTTTTTTAAGATTTTATTTATTTATTTGACAAAGAGAGACACAGCGAGAGAGGGAACACAAGCAGGGGGAGTGGGAGAGGGAGAAGCAGGCTTCCCCGCCGAGCAGGGAGCCTGATGCGGGGCTTGATCCCAGGACCCTGAGATCATGACCTGAGCTGAAGGCAGATGCTTAACGACTAAGCCACTCAGGTGCCTCACATTTGATCTTTTAAAACACTAAATCAGGGGCACCTGGGTGGCTCAGTGGGTAGAGCTTCCAACTTGTGATCTCAGGGTCGTGAGTTCAAGCCCCACATTGGGCATGGAGCTTCCTTGAAAAAATAAGTAAAAAATAAAAACAAACAAAACAGGAAATCAGATCTTGTCATTTCCTTGATTAAAACTTTCCAATGACTGGGCGCCTGGGTGGCTCAGTTGGTTAAGCGACTGCCTTCGGCTCAGGTCATGATCCTGGAGTCCCCGGATCAAGTCCCACGTCGGGCTCCCTGCTCCGCAGGGGGTCTGCTTCTCCCTCTGACCCTCTTCCCTCTCGTGCTCTCTGTCTCTCATTCTCTCTCTCTCAAATAAATAAAATCTTTAAAAAAAAAAACAAAAAAACTTTCCAATGACTTCTCACTACACTTACAATAAAATTAGAGCCCCTTTCTGGGGCTCACAAGGCATACCTCTCATCCTCTACCTGTGTTCCAACTTCTACCATGTTGGGTCTCTTAAATTGGCCACGGTGGTTCCCACCTCAGGGTCTTAGCGCTCTCGCTCTACTTTTGCCCTACCCATCTTTACATGGTTGGCTGCTTCTTGTCATTCACCTCAGAAGGGTCTTCACTGACCAGCCCATGTAAAACAGGCCCCTTCCCAAGCCCCCAGCACTTTGCTGTCATATGTCACCTTGTTTTTGTTTGGTTTAGAGAGGGAGAGAGAGAAAGAGGAGGGTGGAGGGGCAGAGGGAGAGCGAGAGAATCTCAAGCAGGCTCTACACCCAGCGAGGAGCCCGACGCAGAACTCGCTTCCACAACCCCGAGATGATGACTCGAGCCAAAATCAGGAGCCGGACGCCCAACCAACTGCGCCAGCCAGGCGCCCCCGTCACCTTGGTTTACATTCTTTAGAGCACTTACCACCATCATCCTGCATGTTCATCTCAGACTTCCTTGTCAATTGCCTGTCTTCCCCCCTAGACTAGCATGGACTTTCTCTGGTTTGTTCACTGCTATAGCCCGGTGCCAGGAATAGTGCCTGGCATCGAGTAGGTCTCCAATAAACTGGCTGAGCGAAAATAAGAACAAATACAGAGCATGTCAAGGAACTGCAGGTGGGGTATGTCTCTGCAGTGCGGGGGCACCCAGGGCAGGGGAGCCCCACCTCTTATAACACTGCAGCTCTTCCTGCACCACCAGCAGCTGGGACTTGAGCTTGTTGCGCTCCTGGAGCACGTCCCGCAGCTCTTGGAGAGTGAAGCGTGGTCGGTTGGGATCTGTCAGGTCAACCACCATTTTGTCCGGTCCCAGGTTTACCTGCGAGAAAAGACGTTGGTCGCTTATACGGTTTCTCTCATGAGGATGGACTGTCTACCCCAAAAAAGGCAAATCTTGTTTGTTCACACTTAAAATTTAAATATTTAAATTAGTTCATTAACGGGGATGTGATGGTTAATTTTATGTGTCTACTTGACTGGGCTAAGGATTGCCCAGATAGCTGGTTAAACGTTATTTTGGAGTGTGTCTGTGAAGGTGTTTCTGGAAGACGTTAGCATTTGGGCTGATGCACCGAGTAAAGCAGATGGCCTTCCCTGATGGGTTGGCGGGCATCATCCAATCCACTGAGGGCCTGAACAGAAAAAAAGGTGGAACGAGGGTAAATTCTGAGCTCTGTCTGTTGATGTGGGACATTCTCCTTCTCCTGCCCTCAGACATTGACACTCCTGGTTCTTGGACTTTTGGTTCCAGACCAGGACTTACAGCATCAGCCCACCTCCCCTGAGTTCACAGGACCTCCTGGTTCTCCAGCTTGCAAATTGAAGACTGTAAGACTTCTCAGCCTCCATAACTGCATGAGCCAATGCCTCAAGTAACTATCCCCTTTATATCAATAGCTATATCCCCTATTGGTTCTGTTTCTCTGGAGAACTCTGACTAAAACAGGGAAGGAAGAGGAGCAGAAGGTCAATTAATGAGTGTACAAGATGAGAGAGTGGAACACTCATCCTTTTGGGGCCCCTGGCTGGCTCAGTCGGTTGAGCATGAGATTCTTGATCTTGGGGTTGTGAGTTCAAGCCCCATGTTGGGTGTAGAGATTACTTAAAAATAAAATCTTTTTGGGCGCCTGGGTGGCTCAGTCGTTAAGCGTCTGCCTTTGGTTCAAGTCATGATCCCAGGGTCCTGGGATCGAGCCCCACATCGGGCTCCCTGCTCGGCGGGAAGCCTGCTTCTCCCTCTCCCACCTCCCCTGCTTATGTTCCCTTCTCTCTCTCTGTCAAATAAATAAATAAAATCTTTAAAAAAATAAATAAATAAAATCTTTTTTTCCCCTAAGGTTTTATTTACTTATTTGACAGAGAGAAACACAGCGAGAGAGGGAACACAAGCAAGGGGAGTGGGATAGGGAGAAGCAGGCTCCCCATGGAGCCAGGAGCCCGATGCGGGGCTCGATCCCAGAACCCTGGAATCATGACCTGAGCCAAAGGCAGATGTGTAACAACTGAGCCACCCAGGCGCCCCCAAAATAAAATCTTTACCAGTGGGGCAC